GCCTTGGCCTCTGCTCCTCAGAGCATCTATACGGTGTACCTAGTGGCTGCTTATTGTGAAATGCTGTTCCCAGGTGGCCTCCCTGGTGATGCAGGGCTGTGGCACCCTCTCAAGAGGTGATGGAGCTGCAGGAGCAACTGAGCTTAGGGCTCCACTCTTGCAGAGATCTCCAGTTGGAAAGCTGCAGATGTCCCATGCAGACAACTAAATGGCTCAGGACTGCTAGCAAAAATTGGTCTCTGCTTCCTTCCCCCCTGGCCCATTCCCATGCTGCCCAGATGTATCACACATGTTCTCCATTAACCCAAACCGGAGCCAGCAGCTGGCCAAGCCACCTCCCTGAACCTCCTGGTAGCAACCTGACCCTTCAGCTGCTGCTCCTATCAGAAGTGTCAAAGCAGGCCCTGAAAGCAGCAGCAGCTCTTTGGTTTTAGCTCTCACTCACATCTACACAAATGCAGTCCGGAACATGAGGCCAGCATTCCCCCACAAGTGAGCATCCAGGTAAATGGTGTCCCTAGAAAAGGGAGAGACCAGGTAGCTCAGGGACCGGGAATAACAGAGGGAGAGGAGACACAGGAGTGATGGGGCTGCAGCAGCCAGCAAGTGGTATGGGCTGTGTGGAATGATAGCCTGTCCACCCAGCTCTCTTGCTCAGAAAGTTGCACTTTAGATGACAAACCAGGGTCTCTACCAGGGTAATTGGCAGCATCAGTGGCTCCTGGGAGTCTTCAGGACCCCCTGAAGCTGGGAAAGGAATGAAGAGACCTGCCTGCTCCTGCTCCTCTGGCTAGCAGCTTAGGTGAGGAGCCCGTCCAGTATGGCTGTCACAGAGCAGGACTCTGCTGTCTCATCTGGGTAGGCTCTGGGGAGAAAAAAATCCATCGGTCTCCTCACTTCTACCTCTTCCAGCTTTGTTTCAGTCTGGGAACGGGGTCCTGTTGGTGTGCATTAGACATGCTCTGAGCAGTGTCACCCTTTCAAATCCTTCAAAGACACTAGACAAAAGCACATGTATCCCTATTAGTTTAAGAGGAAGAGGACACTTAGCCCTAGGAAGACATGTTTAAAGTCGGATTATGGGAATTCCAGGTGTGCAGAAAAGCCAAGCACAGATTTCACAGGTACTTACAGAGGCACTTCTCCATGCCATGAGGTGAGGTGAAGCCAGTGTCTGACAGCAGCTGAGCAGTGAGGATTGATCACAGTTTTGCAGTAAGGCATTCTGGTGCAACTTTGTCCTTGCCACCCCACGGCAAGTCCTCAGGCAAATCAAGTTGCTATGGTCAGATTTGACCAACAGAATGAGAACCTCAGCAAAGTGAAATGATATTGAGCTAAACAGCACCTTAGCCTAGCAGTCTGATTTTCTGGGTGGCTGTTACTAGGTAATACCAGCTTCTGGCAGCATCCTCCAGCTTTTCAGCCATCAGAGCCCCATACTGCTGACTTACCCCAGGGAAGAAGAGTCCCTGCCATGGCCTGTGACAGTGGTGGAAACACACCGTTTACCCTTCCCTATATCAGCAGAGAAAAAAAGATTTTCTTGCAGCACTCAGTCTTTCTTCCCTATTATCTATTTTTTCTTTCAGCCAAAGCTACACTTTTCAACTCAGTATTTTCTCAATATAATTGCATCTGCAGCTGTCAAGGAACTCTATTTACCAATGAGCTTAACTTTAACAAATGGTAAAGTTTAAGTATAGATGATATGTTTTACACATGTCACACAGCTAGACAAATATAAAACAACTGCTGCTCTCCTTGGGAGCCTGAAACACTCCTGGATTTATTAAATTCAGGAGAGCAATACAGGTTTCGGAGGAGTTTGGCCATACTCCTCCCAGCCATGCATGTATAAGAAGAGATTTCAGTGGCTGTGGCGAAAGTCTGGCCTGTTATCTAGCTTCATCCTCACAGCACATGAGCTTGAGGAGCTGTGCTTCTCTCTGTAAGGGCATTTTCAGCCAGAAAATAGAGATAACTATGAACTGCCCAATACGAGTCTGCACTGAGGGTCCAGTCCCACTATATCTCCTTACTCTCTTCCGTCGCCTCAGCTTTCACCAGGGCTTAAGGTGTTGGAGCAAAGCGCTCATCCCCCCCACTCTAGACATCAGCATGTTTCATGATGGCACTGCTAAGCCTGAAGAAGCCATCTCAGCCTCATATTGTCCAGCTCTGCTTATCTCCCATCATCTTTTTCTCAGCCTGGCTGCTACCTAGGACATGCACTGCTGCTTTCCACCAGGACATTGCGCATCTTAAAAGCAGTGATTCTGCTGCCTCTGCCAGCACTCCCTGGCCCAGCAACTGTGTTCATTCTTCAGTGGAGGGTAAGGCTAGCCACGCTGTAGCCATTAGGAAGATAAAATTTTCAGTTAAGTAAGTACCACGGAGGTGTCTGTTAGACGTGTAGACACATGTTCTACGAGGAATGACTGCTCTGAAGTCCCGCAATGTACTCTGCACTACACAAACAGCATTTCACATGTAATGGACCAGCTCCAGTTTAGCTGTAATATTGTTTGTTGCTTGGAAAGAAGCTAGTGCTGGGATGACTTACCAGAAAAAATTTTGTCTCCTCATTTGGTCTGTTATGACACTTCTGCAAACATCTGCAGGCTCTGATTTTGGGATTCTGTGCTCTCTTAGGCACGTCTCCCAGTACACGATTTGCCTCAACATGGTAAATGGACTATTTTAGCAAAACCAACAATTTATAGTTCATGTTTGCTGGTATAAACAATGTCAAATTGTTGCATGAATAAAAGCACTTTGAGAAACACAGTCATCTTGGCTGTACTGAACTGTCAAGAAGCACTTCTGGCAAAGGTTTGACCTGATGTCTACCAGGAACAGCGAGGCAGACCTACAAAAGCTGGCAAAGCTGGAGAAGACTGAGGATAGAATAGGGCCAGGATAGACAAATAGGTCAGAGCAGCAGCTTGCTCCCATCACATGGTGCTAATCTTGAGCAGGGTAAGAGATATCAGAACAAAGAGAGGGCTGGTCCCTGCATGTACTGCCTGACTTCTTAGCACCTATTTCTTGGATGTGTTCATGCTCTGTGCTGGAATTCACAGAACTGAGTTTTTGGTGTAAGGACCGACCAGCTTCAGAGACATGTCCCATCACCTTTAAAATCCTCCATCACAAATAACAGATCTCTGACTGCAAGCTCATGTTTGAGGAATATATACATATTTTAGAAAAACAGAAATGTACCAGCCTATTAAGTCTGCTGCATAGTAGGGAAAACAAAAATACCCCCCTGCTGTTAAATGAGTGATAAGGCTTTATGGATGTTTGCCTTGGTTTACAAACACACAAATGACATTTCCTAGACCAGTAAGTTAGCTCATGGTCACTCTGTTCTTTAAAAGTGACATGGACAAAGGGGAAACAAGATGAGAGTGGCCTGAAATACATGGTAACTTCATACAGCTCCATCTTGTCTGCAGAGAGACAACTGGCAGCAGGTCACCATTGCTACAGGTTGATAGCCTGGATGCCAGATGTGTAACACAATGTGGCTGCAAACAGAGTCCTGAAAACATGTACCGGAGAGAGGGAGTATTTCGTACTGGAAGGTGGGATCAGTATTTCACAGATACCTACAGGCAAACCAGCTTGCTTTAATAATACTTACTGAGTCTTACAACTAAAACCTTCAAGTCTAAGGGACTGTGACCCCAGCGCTGCCACGGCCAGTAATGGATGTTGTGTTTGGTCTGTGCTAAGTATCCAGACAGGCGTCAGCAGCAAGTCCCCCGGGGTCCCCCACGGCCCCTGCCCCAGCCGTGCTGCAGTGGGGCCAGCCTCCAGCTCTCCACAGCCCTGCCTGGGAGGTGGCTGGTGCGCAGGGCTGGGGCTGCAGGCGCTTATCAGTCAGCTTTAGGGAGACACGAGCAGCCCCAAGACCACAACACATCCCATCGCTCCCCTCCAGGCTGCAGAGCAACCTGTATTTTCAATTTCTGCTGCATGCCTTCTTCCCCCTCCTCTCTGGCACAGGAACTGCTGTAAGACAACATAAAATGAAACTGAAACAGCGCTAAGACCGAAGCAGTTGGTTAAGTTTCATTCACATGTACAGGGGCACTATCAGTTCTAACAATCCAAACAAATCCTCCAATGGGTATAATTTAGGTGAATCCTCTTTTGCCAAATACAGCACAGCTACAGAGGTGTTCCACAACTCTGCCAGTGCTGAAGCTGCTGCCACTGCTGACAAGAAGTGGCTGAGCAAGAGGCAGTAGATGTCTAGTGGCAGAGATGTCAGACACTAAAAGCAGCATCTGACCTAAGACACGGGCATTAAGCGCTGAGACCCAAAAGAGAAATAGGAAAGTGTCAAGTGAGAATGAATCCAAGGGAAAAAGCAGATTTGAGAGATGGCGTAAGGAGCAGGAAATGGTGTGGAAGGAACAGTAGTGGGCATTAGTGGTCACACACGCATCAGTCAAATTCCCCTTTATATAAACCGGTTGGAGCAAGCCAATATAAAGAGAACTTCCATGGCACTAGGGAAACAAGGCTGGACAAAGCGCTAGCCATGGAAAATAATGAGGAAAAGGAAAGCAGTGGGAAATAAGGTGGAAAATAGCACACAAGAAGAAAAACGGATACCCAGACCAGCCCAGAGTGCGATTAGTTTCCCCTGCTCATGACTGCTATCTTGTCAGCCTGGCACTGTTCAGCATTTTTTATCCTTCCTCCTGTTTTGCAAACCCGAGTGATGAGCTGTTTTCACTTCACCCTGAGAGCTGTGGTGCCCATCAGATATTCAGGAAAAATTGTTTCTCGGTTGTAAACATACAGACGTTGAACCAAGCTATATAATTTAGGACAAGGATCACACCAAAGCCCTTAAAACCTGGTGGGGGACAGCGCAATTGTATTTAGGTCCAGAGTTTCAGTTAAAGCCCTTCTTCACACTTGTGTTGAAGATCATTATATTAACATTCAGGTTAAGGCAGAATAAATGCTATTATGACTCAGTCATAATCCTTGCTATGAGCAGCTTTTGCAAATCCCACTCTGTCATTCCCACGGTCAAAAATGCAGTAAAAAGCAGACATAAAGACATCTCCTAAAATCCAGAGCAGGCCATTGCGAGTGGGGATATCAAGAGCCTGAAAGCCGCTCATACAGAAGGTTTGGTCTTCAATAGACTCCTGGAAAAGAAAGTACAAAGTGTCCTTGTGGTAGCCTGCTCCAGCCCCATCTCAGGGAGCAGAAAACAGGGAACGGGGAGGCTGCGGATACGCACCTTTATGACATACTGCTCTGCTGTCAGCTTGTACTCATGGTGTCCAATCGTGAAGCTTATGTGAGGCAAGCTTGACAGTCTTCTGCAGTCTACAAGAAACTGTGATGCACAGATTGAGACAGGATCGGTTTGCCTTTTTTTAAATACTGCCTTTTGAATACAAGACTTTAGGGGCAGGTAATCGTGAATTTGCAACAAACAGCAGCAGGCAGACTTGCAGCCCAACACTGCCCTCAGGCTTCCCAGCTCCCGCACTGGGTCAAACCAGCCTAGCAGCTCAGACCACCGCACCAAAGCCCCGAGGGACCCAGCGCGGATGAAAATCCTCGGAAGCCCCAAAAGGAATGAGGTGGAGGAAGAGGCTGATGTCCCCCCTGTAGAACTCAGAAGCAAAACTGTGTGAGCCCCAGTGAATCCGTATCAGGCAGGACAGCTGAGCAAAAGGCTTGGACTGGATGGAGGGAACTGCCTCCAGCCCACAGAGGGAGCACTCACCCCACTCCTTCCCCTAACATCATTTTAGGGGGAAAAAGCCAGTGAGGAAGAGAGCACTTTGTACTTATGCTCTGTCCTGGAGTGGGATTTAAAGAGCAGAAGAACTAAACTCTGGCACGGTCATTAATTTCCATAAATAATACATCCACTTAGGGTAACACAGAACATAATTTCCTGGCCTTTCTAGTTATTTCATGAAACAACTGGTGTGTCAAATGGCACTGCAGAATGCTCCAAGCCCCAGAGGGATCTTTGTGTAAACTGTAGTGTTTAAAGTCATTGTTTTAGAGACGTCCTAGAAGGAAGAATCTATTCTTCGTTGTTGTTAAATCTGCTTTATGAAAACATACCTCTAAATCTTGTGTATACTTATCAGGTGTCATACCATTAGAACAAAATAAACCATGGGATACAGAGGATAAGAGTGAAAAAAACAGTGTAATGGTTTGTAGGATACAAGAAGCAAGACATTTTCATTTACATTTATTCATTTACATAGCTAGTGTGTCCAGAATAAATCAGTCCTTGCTGGAAAGAGATATAAGTTCTGGTGAAATCACTGGTGGATGCACCCACTCATAGTGGGATAAATTTGAGCCAATGTATGCAGCCTGTCTGCGGGTGCTACAAAAACAGTCATAGAAAGTCTTGTTTTCAGAATGCTTTTTTGCAGAAGCTGAGGTGTTGGCTGAGTGTTCTTATGTTAGCACTGGAGTCTATGAACTTCTACTGCAATGACCTGTTCCTTGTTTATACTATGCTAATATAAGCGCATTGGAAATACACAAGTGCCACTCCAGGTTTTCCTCTTATGAAAGGAGGCAGATTAAAAGCCCACTTTTGTCTTTGATCTTTGCAGAGCAACCATCACACTCAGGTTTTTTCCAAGTGCAGTTTTGGGTCAGGATCAAGACAGCTGCAAAGTTGACAGAAGCCATACAGGGCAGCTTTACCTGGGGCACTGGAGCTGTGCTGGTTACCCGTGGGAGTCAGCCAAGGGCCAGCAATAAGGCACTTCGGTAAAAATAAGCTGCTCTTTCTTTCCCTGGCGGCAGGTGGATTTAGCCATCCCAGGCTTGCTATCTCAGTGCTTAGACATTACAAGAGTTTGGATTTGCCATCTGAATACTGACAGCAGGGAGATGCAAAGGGCAGTAGAGAGACACCCCAGCCCGGCCCATGGGCAAGGCAGTGGGAAAGCCTAACATACCTCGAGCAACCTCAGCTCATGCAAGCCCCCCTCGACTGATGCAGGGAGTCAGGGGTTGCAGGAGTGGGGTGAGAGAGGCTATCAAATGATACATCAAAGCTGTTTTGTCCCACTGGAGGAGGTGGAGGTTCTCCTGAGAGGGCAGGCACGGGTGGGAAGGAGTTGTGGGGAGAAGCAGCAAGAGGGATGCAGGAGAGAGCAGCAGGAAAGAGAGGAAAACCAGTGAGGAGACAGAGGAATAAGAGACAACAAGGTCTGTCCAAGCACGTGGCACATCTGCCAGGAGCCAGCGTGGTGAGTGACAGCACTGAGCCTTGCTTCCCAGAGCCCTGGCATGACGCTGCCTGCTCCACTGCAAGCTGACAGTGAGAGCTCCTGTCAGAGGAGCCATTATAGGGTGTAATTAAAATACCTTTCCCTTTTCATTTGATGCTGATGGGGCTGGCCACGGCAGCATCACTGGGGAGCCAATGGCTATAGCTGAGGACACTGAAAATCCTCTGATTTTACAGAAGAAAATGATCTCTGATGAAGAGCAGAGATTGATTCCTGAAACAAATGCCTCCATTATTTCCTTACACACCCGTACTAATGAGTATGGGAGAGGAGGTGGACATTTGTGAGGAGGGCTGGGGCAGCAAGGCAGGTGGGTCAAAACCAGCTTGGCTCCAAGTTCAGTGCTGTCCTGGAAGCAAAGCTTTTGCTGAGACCTTTCTGAGCAACTATTTTGGTTATTTTTCCCACCCTATAAGCTCTTTGCACCAAATACAAGTTTCTCTTCCTGTTTCCTGGCTGTACAGTTTTTACCTCTCCAGTACGCGACGGACTTGCCCCAATATACTCCTGTAATCGCCTGATTTGTGAAGAGGGGCCCGTGATAAGAGAAGTGCCTGAGTCAACGATGGCTTCACAGCCATGGGAGCAAAATGCCACCCGGCCCTGGATCTTTATACTGCAAGTGAAAAACAAAGGATCTTTAAACAAATGGCTTATACACTGTGACTGAAGCAGCATATTACTGCTAGCTAAAGCGCCAGAGTACAGACTGAGGTTAAAACTAGCTTCCAAGTTTTGCCAGTCTTAAAAGACAAGAATGTCTTTACTAGACAAGAAAGTAATAAAAGGGAGAGGAAGATGTCTTGTCTATGGACTCACTTTTCTCTCTTGGGACTCCTACAGCCCTAATCATTTGCTGCCTGCAGATGAATTTGTCCTCACCAGCAGATATGTGTCCTCATTGATTTACACAGCATGCTGGAGGAGGAGCAAAGGGACACTGACTTCTTTGATCAAGGTTAACAGGAAAGATGAGAGCAGGACCCAGAGCTGGATTCTGTTTCTGGGTGCCTTGACCTCTTAACTGAAGAATCCACCAAGATCGAACTAAAACATACTAACATGCCCTCCCAGGAAACAGCTACCCATGTCACAGCAGATTTAAAGAGCTAATAAACCCCTGCCACATCCTGGTGAAACCCCTCTTTAAAAGGCACAAGGGTAAAACACCGCAGCTGAGTCCTCCTGTACAAGCAGGTGTTATACAGGTTTTACCTGGGGAGGTGAATTCCACCAGGTGTTTCATACATACATACATACATACATACGTACTTGTTCAGGTGTATTTGCCAATAGCTTTTCTCGGTGACTGGGACCCAGTGGATCGAACCTTTGTAGAGAGAATGGTCTATCCCCCCCAGAATCAACTCACCACCATTCTCAGTGTCATCTCCCCTGAAAGCAGAAGACAGGTTAACACAGGCATGGGAGTGTGCCAGCATACACTTAAAAAGCAAAAGACAAACCACAGCCCTTTCTAAATGCAGGTGTGGATAGCTGAAAGGGATTATTTCTAAATTATAACTGCATATGTCCCAACTCAGAGCCTCCAAACAACCTCTGAGAAGATGTACTGTAAACTGCCAGGGACTAAGATAGGCAGCAGGAGCAGGCTGAGCCAGTTGCTACTTTTGCCTCAGAATAAACAGAACAACAAAAAAAACCCCAACCAAAACCCAAGAAATAGGGAAAATTACTTTCTCAAGTTGAAGCTTTATACAGATGCACGGTTGTCTCTATCAACAATTAAAATAGATTTCTTTTGGCAGTGATGCTTTAAAGACTGACCTTTTTAGATAGAAAGAGAACACTGGCTCCTCTACCAGCTGCTGGTTCATGATGCTGTCAAACACGGGCAAAGCATTACCCACTATCAAGGAGGGGTAGCCCAAGCCCAGCACACCATCAAAATGGGCAAGAGCAAAGGTTACCCCTGGCTCAAACACCGACTCGCCAAAGTCCTGGCCCTTGATGGAGATGTTACTTATCTGTTTGGTACCAAAGGAAGAAAAACAACAAACCCAAAACAATTGAAAGCAAAGACACTATCAATTACAAGACATTATCCACATTTCAGATCCATATAAATGGATTCATTCCATTTATAAAACCTGCACAATATCCTTGTGTGACTTGCGTCGATAGAACAGGTGCCCATTTGGCAGGTAGACTGCACCAATTCTTTTTAATGCCTTAATTCTGTGGCTGTTTGTCTATAAACCCACGACAGGACCCAAGGAGACAAACAGAAATGAAAAACAGAACCTTAGGGGTTTGTCTTGGTAGCCCAGAGCTGGAGCAGCACCCACACCTCTCAGCACCCAGCTTGCTGGGGCCTCACCCTGCCCTTGCCTAAACCAGGCAAGGCTTTCCAGGGCAAAGCCAGCGTGTGAACTGCCCTGAAAATAGCTGCCCTGGAGGCTGACACCCGTTTGAGGTGGACACTCACCTGCAGCGTGTCTTTGCCAGCAATGCCCAGAAGCTGTCCCGTGCCATACTGCAAGGAGAAGGCTTCCCCTCCGTGCTCATACGAATCTGACAGGAAGGACTTAAATTTCTGGTGCACCCCTTCACGAAACAAATGACATCTGGGCACCGAGGGGAGGTGCTGGTGATGCACCCGCTCCCCAGCACAGAACCAGAGGAGATGTAGGAGAGACAGATTTTTGCTTGTCTTACAAGGAAGGTGTCGATGGAGGTTGCTGTTCCCCTGCAGGCACCCCAGTTTTTCTGTACCTTGGAGGTTATTTTGGGGCTTAAAGACAAAATAAAACAAAAATGGGCATTTCCACCAATATTGGTAGCTCTCCCAGGTTTATTTTCATGCCTTTTACATCAGGCACCTCACGGTGCAGAGGGACCTTTGGCAGCTGCAGCCAGTGCCTGCCCTGGCTGCGGGATGACACAGAGGGGCAGAGACAAAGGAGCAAGCCAGGGAGGGGAGAGTGACCCTCAGGGTGCTCCCAATCCTCCCCTCCCAAATCTACTGCAGGCCAAGGATGGGAAAGGAGAAGTGTCCAAGGAACACAAGACACAAAGAATGTAAGGGACAGTAACATTTCTTACTGCATGCTTCGCTGATGCAATAAGCAGAAGGGACCCAAAAGTTGGAGGAGCCGGTGTCAAACACGACGGTGAACTTCTGGGGCGGTGTGCCGACACTCACAACTCCATAGTACTGTGCCTGGGGGGCAAACAACACAGTCAGCTCCGGGCTGGTGAGCTATTCCTGAGAAACAGGCAGACTCAGGAGCATCACACAACACTTCCTCGGGGGGCTGGGTGCGATTTGAACACGAAGGCATGGCACAGGGAAGGGCATCTGGCTCCAGGAGTGCTGCAGGCAGCAGATTTCACTCCAGCTGCATGCATAACAGTGCAGGGGTTTTAAAGCCTGTTAAGCAAACACTCAGTTGCGTTCCCCGATGAAGTCAACACGCCCTCTTGCACCGACTTCAGTGCTCAAACTCTCACACAACCACACGGGCTTTCAGGCAGCACTTTACTGATGGCAGTAACAAACCAGTGATGTAGAGACAGCACGACCTGTCTCCGCCAGCATCAGAGGGCTCCCACAGCTGGCACAAACACTGTCACACGTGGCTGGGCTTTTTCCTTTGTAATTATCAACCACTAGCAAGTCAAAAATCTATTCCGTTGCATAGACTGTATCTGATGCACTGAACAAAGTTCATCCAGTGGAAAAGAAATGACTGACCATTCCTGGATACCAAGTGAGGACAGAGATAATCTGTGAACAAGTGAGTGCTGGAGTGAAGAGCTTATCCACATCCCGAATGCAAGCATCTAAGTGCCCCTATCTGGCCCTGGAAAAGCACTTCAGCATTAAGAGGCCTATTTTTAGTAAGAGGCATCTCTGGAATTCAAATGAAGATAGAAAAGCAATAGCCAGTGCCAAGCCTTTTGTAGCAATACAAATATTTGAATATCTATCTTCAAGTGCATACTTGTTAATACACTGAATATAGTTTCTGACCCTGCAGTTTAGGGTCTGGATGAGATACTCATGAAAAGGCAAGCAAGTGCACTATTTAAGAGAATATACAGTAGGATTTTATTCCTTTCTGTATTAAACAAACCTTTATGGATTAATCTGTAAAGTGAGGTAGTTCTGAGACATGTTCGTCAAAAAGAAAAAACAGAAAAACCGCAAACACGCTGCACTGAAACCTCCTCAAAACTGTTCCTGGTGCTGGCTGGATATGTTGGGGGAGTGGGTTTGTTTTGTCCTTTTGAGATTTATCCCTCTTTGATAAGCTTTAAAGCAGGCTGAAATGTTTTGACGTCCTCCTTCTTCACACACATCTCTAGCTCATCTTGACATATTTCATTATAGCCCTCAAATGTCAGGAAGTTCTTGCTGAATTAGTGTGTCCTTCCCTTCCCTGTTCAGATGCAGCCTCCACAACATCTCTGCAACTCAGCTTTTTTTTTAGATAAGCATAACAGAATAACCAAATAAAACAGAGAACAGACCATCTAAGTGGACAACATGCTAAACCCAGGAAAGACAATTTACAGAACGGTTGACCTGCTGACTTGCCTGAGATCCAATGGAAGTCCTTTTTATCCTTTTTCATTTTAGGTGGTCAGTTCAGCCACGTTAGTGTGAGACCCAGGTCAGTCTCCAATATTTAATACACGTTAAGCTCAGGAGATAAAGGCAGAAAAATAAAAACTCTGCCTGGGTCTTTTGTTATGACTGGTTTATGATGCCACACGGTCAGAGAAATAAGATTTGGGGGATTTTTTTGTAACCTTCAAACATGCAAGTTTCTGATAAATAGACTACAGCTAACTGAAGTAAGCAATTCTGACACAAGAAACCCAGTCCCAAACCAAGATTGATACAGGCAAACCTACATTTGTCCGGAGACCCAATCAAGTCCAATCCAGATCTCCACAGAGATAAAACTTGTCACAGGACTACCACTGCTAGACTACGTCAGCTTTCTACCTGGGTCCCATGATTACCAGGATCTAGACATGCTTTATTTTGCAGACTAGTAGACTAATTTTTATGATCCAGTATCTAGTGATGTTATGACTTAATAGCATAGAGCAACAAGCCACCTCAAGGCCTATATATTCATTGAGAGACTAGATTTGAAATGTGCTGGAAAAAATAATGTGCCTTCAAGAGAACAACGAGCCCTTATGATTGCATTACCAAAACTGTACTTACATTCATGTAATCATACAGCCTTTCTGAAGCGGTTCCGACTGATAAAGCAATATCTGCAGGGAAGCAATGCAGGTACCTCCGGGCAAAAATGTCAGGGTGGTGATTCCTCCAAAATTCCTCTAATTCTCCCTTTTCCTTCAGCTGTTTCTTGATAGATTTGAATCGAATGAGGGGGATTCTACAGAAAACAAACGCACAAGAAAGTCACCGGTTCTGCTTTCTAGAGCTCTCGTATGCTCTTTTTTTCTTAAATTTGCTTCTTTTTTGAGACCTCAAGTAGCAACAAGCACCCTGGAAAGCATGTGAGACATGTGCCAGTGATGCCAGATGCATTTTCTTACCGTTCCACAGCCAGGGTTAACGGGATGTAAACCACAGCCAACAGCATCACCCTCATGGCTCCAAGCAGGTCAGAGTCTAACAACACTCATTTACTCAGAAGTCCCTTTTTTATACCTCGTTGTCAGCAGAGGGCTGTTCGCCAGGTCAATCAATCACAGGAGGTCAGTGCTTTGGCAGAAAAGTGATTCATTTGCTCTCAGAGAAACCGCTGGATTGTGCAAATAGTGGTGTCCAGTGGAGCTACTAACACACAGACACTAACAGGGCACAGTGTAGACCAAACAGACGTTTTATTTGTAGACCAAATAGACATTTTATTAACAATCCTTTATGTCATTTACATAAATACATGGCGTGAGCTTGGCTACTGCTAGGATGGGAAAGAGAAGGCAGTCCAGAAACTTGCCTGGTTCCCCCCAGGTAAGCTTCTTTTCAAGGTTATTTTAGTGACAAGCAGCCCAGATGTGACCAACACAGAGAAAGAGGACATAACATGCAAATATTTCCCTTTTACATGGAAACATTTCAGAAGGGTGTTTGATAGGGTTATGACAAGTCATCCCCTAACAACTGAAGTTTAATTCCCTATTTATGGGAGAGCTCCGCTCTAAACATTAACGTGACTGCCACATGAAAAAATGGGGTTTGAAAGTAAAAACCATGGCAGGCTGCAACATGCAGTAATAAACAGCCAGTGGCTTTGCACATGTTTCAGCAAGACACTGGGAAGCGTTCGCTTGGGTTTATTTTCCTGCGAGTTTCCTGAGGTTAGCAGTTCCCACCGCTGCCTGACTCTTGGGTCCAACTCAAACTGGTGGAAAAACAATGGTGTCAAAAAGAGGCTCTGATCTGGCAGAGAGTGACCCCAAACCCATTAACTGCCTGGAAGGAAGCTCAGTACTGAGTCTGTGATTTACTTCTGAGACATTCTGAATCTTTCCTCTGCATGAGGAAGTGCAGTGAGCAATCATACGCTGCAGCCTGGCACGCGTCAAAGCTAAATGTGAATGATCAGCCATTTCTGTTCAAAGGGCTATGCTAGGGTGCTGGGAAAAGAGCAATGACAGCTTTTCCCCTGGAATACATCACTTACTCCAAATAAACTGCTCACCACATGAAGGTGAACTGGAGCTCAGTACCCTCCCAAAAAAGAGTAGATGTTTTGCACAGCAAAGAGTGAATGTCAAGACCATGGAGGAGGCAGGAGTCACCATCTGCTCCAGCAACAATGCTCCAGTCAAGAAAAAACAGCAGAAAAAACCAAACACACAGTGTTTTGCCTTAAAATAATTTAGAGCTTTTTAGTTCCCTGGATTTTGAGACACATCTTTTACTTTTTCAAATTTACCTCCAAAATCGTGAGGGCTACAGAAACTCAGCAGAGGCTGGTGTCCAAAGCTGTGTGCAGAGCTTTGGAGGTGAAAAAGCACCAGCACCTCTAGTCTCAATCCGTATCAAAAAATACTAAAATCTCAAAACCACAACTTTTATACTGGTTTCCATTTCACTGTGATTGGTTTTTAATTCCCTAGTTCTGAGCAGCATTCCCTGTTTGTTGTGAACTCAGAGGTTTTACACAAGTTCTCAGCAAGGAACCACATTTTCTGTCCCACAGCTGCGCCAGCCACCGAGCTGCAGGAGCTGGGTGCTGGCAGTGAGGACACTGAGCAGTAGCTGTGGTCACCTGTGAACTTTCAGGAAACAAAGGCATTTCTCAAGGAGCCTACGCGCACCAGCTGATGCGCAGCAGAGCAGGTGTCATGCCCTCTGGTAGGGCAGTGTCACTTTGACAAGAGCAAGACAATGTCTGTGCTGAGCACCTTTATCGCTTGAACTTTTCCTCAAATGCCACAAATGCTTCTGGGAAGTCATTAATGTTCACATTGGAGGGCATCAGGATAACTTTGAAGACATGAAGTGGCTTTCAAAACTGCGCCGTGGGTCTACCGAGGGGACTGCCTTTGCCTTAGAGCCTCCACTGAGCCACTGCTCCTCAGAAAGACCAAGATTATTCATTTATAGCAAATGTAGCCCTTTGTTATCCCACCACACAAAGGTTATATTTTCCCCAAATACTCTGATCTCACCGTGCGTTCCAAGCAGACGTTCATTTAGCCAACAGAGGTACAAAATGCGGCAACAAAAGGTCATTGTGACTTTTTTTGATAAGCTGGAATAATGATTAAACTACAATGCAGAGGATCGCTAAGAAATAGTTGTCTGCAGCTTAAAAGTTTAAGTAGAACTAATTCAAGTAGAAAAAAACTATATAAGTATCCATGCCTGTAAACTGAAGGTATATTGCAAAGATATTTCTCTCCATATGGATTATTAAGAAAAATATGCCTAAACAAAATAATTAATACACTTTTGCCTAGGCTTGTGTTGTTCTGATCTGCAGGATACCTGACAAGACTTGTCTAAGGGACATGTCTTCACTGTGAACGTAAATCGTTATTATTTATGCCAAATGCATTTGGTTTTCCACCCCTGTAGCCTACAGTGCCTTACGGGGTGGGGAGCTCTGCCTTTAGGAGATGCCACAGCTCCTTAGAAATGGAAATGTACAAAACCCATGAGGGCCATGGGACTATTTTCTTATAAGTCAGACCACATTCCAGGGTACCTGCTTGGAAAAGGATGCCCTGTGAAATCTGGGAACGAATGACAGGACCCCCACCACAGTCCTCTGCCAGGCTGCGTGGTGTTCAAGCTGTAAAGTGGCTTCTCTGAGGTGCTCACTCAGTGTGAAGCAGCTGGTGCTTCTGGGACGCTATGCCCAGCATGTCCCGCCTTCTGTCATGAGAGCAAGTGTTTTCAGCGCCTCTCTTCCACAGCACAGCCACAGATGACTGTGACGTATCTTTGTTCTCCAGGCTTGATACTTTGCCCAGCTTCTTCATCCAAAACCTATTTTGTGGCATTCACGTCGCAGCACTCACTGTTCTCTGACTTGCTGCAGTACTGGCTCCCAGATGTCCTCTGTGTTGTTCTCCTCCCCCAGGAAACCCCCCATACATTTCATAGCATCACTGCTGCATGGCAGACACATCTTGCGGGGAAAAGCCTAGTAAACATCCAACAGCCTGTATTCAAGTGACAGTTAAGAGCTGCTTTACGTTGGAAAGCAAGTAATAATAGAGAGCTCTCTATTCCCAGATTTGACCAGAGATCCAGAGGCCACCTTAACTGTTTGATATTGCCTTTTTCTCAATCTTTTGTTTGCTCTGCCTTTTGTTTTTCCAAGAATACGTGGCTCTCAGTAATCACGTATTATGGTTGTGTAGAAACTAACACCCAGAAACCTACTGCAGATTGTTGAAAGAGTATCTTCCCTAAATTATGGTAAGTATGGAAAATGACAGCAACAAGCTGTAGGTATCGAAGTAGAGATCCAGCTGCTGGAAAGGCTGTTTCACCTTAAGACCAGGAGAAGGCTCAGTGGAGTCCTTAGAGAAGCCTTCCAGTACCAAAAGGGGTCCTACAGGAAATCTGGAGAGGGACTTTTTACAAGAGCATGTAGTGACAGGGCAAGGAGGAATGGCTTTAAGATAAAAGAGGGTAGATTTAGGTTAGATTTTAGGAAGAAATTCTTTACTGTGAGGGTGGTAAGAAGGTGGCAGAGGTTGCCCAGAGAAGTTGTGGCTTTGAGCAATCTGCTCTAGTGGAAAGTGTCCCTGTCCGTGGCAGGGAGATTGGAACAAGATGATCTTCAAGGTCCCTTCCAACCCAAACCATTCCACGATTCTGTGAAAGCATTCTGTCAGCTTTTATACCCAAAGATCATGGTAAAGCCATGTCCAACACACACGTAGGATAATCCCCAAGAGAGCTTAAAACAGTAGCAGCTCAAAAAGTCTAAGTATACAGAAGGAAGTATATACCTGGGAAGGCAAGATTTCATCCTAAAAATCAGAGGTGCTCCTGACCTGAACAGCAATGAGTCTTGCTGAGAGAAGGAGGGAACGGTTTACACTGTCACATCTAAATAGTCATAATTCCTAACATTGTATTTCTCTCATTCATAACACGTGAGAATCTTGATGGAATTAAATTCATGTCAGTTTCTTGCCAGGTTTTGGTAGGGATACAGGGACTGCAGTAGCACAGTAGGAAGGTGGCTGGAGGACAGCCTTGGCAGGTTGTGATAGTATATCGAACAGGGATGCAGACAAGACGTAAACCATAATGCAATGAAAAAGGCCCTACAAAGTCAAGAGTGCCAGAAGCTATAGTAAACGCCGTTAAATTAGGAACATAAATAGTAGAGCAACTCAAGATAGCAGTTTGCCAAGAATTTGTGTTCAAGCTTTAAGATAAGCACTGGGTGGCAAGTTACACTCTGAAATTATGTATTTGGCACCTTGCAAAGTAAATCCCTAAAAGTGCCACTTGTCTGCAAAGTCAGTCAAGTCGTGACGGGTATTTTAAACAACAGTTCAATTACATCCGACATTTCCACTGAAGGTTTCATGAAAACTAAACATCTGAGTTTAGAAATATGGTCTTCTGTGGTGTTTACTCTCCTGAGCCAGTCCCTGCGGAGAGCACCGGCTGCACAGACAGCACGGCTGGAGCGAGAGGTGAGGGGCTGAGGCATTGGAGCGACGGCCTGGGGCAAAATCAGTGAGCATTTACAGTGTGCACTGCAGGAAAAGGCAGAAGGAATGTTTTTGGGGAGGGGCGAGCAGGAGTGCGGGTGAGAGAGAGAGACCTGCACTCCGCATCGTCCTGTCCATAATCCCCATCACCAAACACTCATTCGGTTATCAGAAACATTTCAGAGCCCTTGAGATTAACCACTGGTGCCATGTAAACAGAGCCTTATATTGAGAAGACGGAGTTACTGGCAGGCCAGTGCACAGGCAGGCTCCTGTCCCATAGGTACACTCCCAGCCATCCCCAAACAAAGAAAAGTCCCAGGATGGGCAACAGTCTGAAAGCCATAGTTGCCTTTGTGCCCTCCAATGAGTGCCAGAAGTACCTCTTGGAAGACCTAGAAGAGATGCCAGTGGATAAAATGGTGGATCTGAGTGGCAGCCAGCTGAGGCGGCTGCCTCTGCACATTTGCTCTTTTAGGGAACTGGTCAAGCTGTACCTGAGCGACAACAACCTGAATCATCTGCCCCCTGAGCTGGAGCAACTGCAAAATCTGCAGATCCTGGCGTTGGACTTCAACAACTTCAAAGCGCTGCCCCTAGTCGTATGTACACTGAAGCAGCTGTGCATCCTCTACCTGGGCAACAACAAGCTCTGCAGCCTGCCCCTTGAGCTCCGGTTCCTGCAGAACCTCAAGACCCTCTGGATCGAGTCCAACTGCCTGCAGTACCTGCCTGAGGTGGTGTGCGAGCTGACCCTGCTCAAGACCCTGCACGCCGGCTCCAACGCGCTGCGCACCCTCCCCACGCAGCTGCGGTGCCTGCAGGAGCTGCGCACCATCTGGCTATCGGGAAACCTCCTGTCCGAGTTCCCCGCTGTGCTCCTGGACATGCCTTTCCTGGAGGTGATAGACGTGGATCGCAACTCCATCCGGTTCTTCCCCAGCCTGGCTCACCCCTGCTCAAGACCCTGCACGCCGGCTCCAACGCGCTGCGCACCCTCCCCACGCAGCTGCGGTGCCTGCAGGAGCTGCGCACCATCTGGCTATCGGGAAACCTCCTGTCCGAGTTCCCCGCTGTGCTCCTGGACATGCCTTTCCTGGAGGTGATAGACGTGGATCGCAACTCCATCCGGTTCTTCCCCAGCCTGGCTCACCTCCCAGGCCTGAAGTTGGTGCTCTATGACCATTTTTTTGCACCCAAAGTGGCCAAAGGGGTGCGCAGGGTGGGGAGGTGGTCAGAGGAGACGCCTGAACCCCGCAAGCGGTCCGGGGCAGTGGTAGAAATCCCACTCGATGAGAGACCATCACCACCTCCTGCTGTCAAGCCTGAGCTGGAAGCCGAGCCCTGCTGATGCTTCAGCTGCCCACTCTGGCAAAGGTGGCAGCACACTAGCACCATCACCCAGCCTCTACTTCTTTCTTTCTTGCTTGCTGACATCCAGGGAGCCCCACACCGCCTTGCTAGTCTTCAGGAGTAGGTGCACCAGCTTGGAGCTAGATGACAGCAAAACCCCTTGTACAGCCACCCCCTTTTGCACAGTACCCAGCACTCTCTAGAACAAAGACTTCCTCCCTTCCACCCATGTGAGGACCACTCAGAGATGGCAGCGAAGATGAAGAGGCAGTTCAGATGTTTTCCATGGGTGGACTGTACAGAGCACGAACGGACTTGCTGCTCTTCACCCATGGGCTTGCTCTTCTCCCCTCCACCCTGCTGAGGTGTCCGAGCTCAGCTGGAAGCCACTGTTCAAGGGGATTGCTGCCGAGCCACAGCTCTGAAGTAACCACAGCATTTGTCTCAAATGACTTATCTGAAACACAGCAACAGCTTGAAGGTTTCCCTCCCTGCTGCGTGGGAAGTGGCAGCAGAACCCTGGCTGCACTATCAAGGAAACAGCATGTATGTACCAGAGAGCTCTCCTCTTAACCGCTGACACCTTCTTCCTGGAAAATTTGCAGCCACCCTTTTGTTATTGCCAACCAGCATTTTAAATGATGGTGAGGAAAGCAACAGGCTTTGCTGCTAATTTCTGTTACCAACAACACTGCCATTAAGGGCAGCTTTACAGACCGAGTTCTCAGGCAGCAGCAAAGAAGAAAAATCAAAGCCTGACTAAAACAGAAACACGACAAGAGCTGCAAAGGTAAACTTGCATGAATGAAGCCCTGGGCTGGGAGCCTGCTGCTACAGGCTCACGCACAATTTGAAGCTGAGGCAAACATCACTCAGTTGATTTCAGCTGGGTATTTCTCCAGCTTGTAACTTGGACCAGTTCAGATCCCCTTCAAAATGCACTGAACTCTTTCTTAAGTATGTTTTGCTTTCATCATGAAACACAGAAACCTGACTCAAAAAGACATTTTTAGCAATTGATTCCGCAGCACAGACCCTTGAGTTTGGTAAAAGACAGCTTTTAAAGAGGGTGAGGAGCCCGTGGCTGCACAGAACAGCCACTTCCCTCTCTGCCACTTGTCAAGTGGAACTGTCTCACCAGCGCAGCCGGCAGCAGTGGCAGTTGACTTCCCAGAACAGGTTTGAGTCAGTGCCAGTTCGTGACTGCTTTATGTCATTTACATGCTTGAAAAATGATCTGGAAACACACAGACTCTGCTAGCACTTGCTGTCTTGTTAAATGAAGTCTGAATTTAGACCTGGCTGGCACCCATGTAGCATGTAGTCAAATTAAACGAAGTATACTAACATCTCAGTGAGTTAAAACAGCCTTCTTTGGAATTAACCAAATTCGCTTTCCAAATTCTTTATCTAAGCTCTTTCTTTCTATCAGCAGGACAAGTATTTGGGGCTTTTTTAACATCCAGTCAATGGTTTATTTCCTATGGAACTGACCTGGTGTTTTACTTGCCTGAGGGGGTGGGCAATAAGGCACTTTCACCTGCTTGTCAGTGGTTGTATTTTAACACAGCACTCCTGACACAGTATTGTCACTTCTGGAGATCTCATCAGTTTAAATGTTTGGAGGAGCATTCTGTAAGCAAGAGTCTCTTCTGTTTTAGGAAACCTAATGAGAAAAATGTTTGCACAGATAATTTGAAATCAAGAGAGTACTCTTACTGCTTTGGCAGCCTTGCCCTGGTGTCTGCCAGGGCACTGCATTATGCTTTCAGGGGCAGGAGGGTCACTGGTGGCTCAGCTCCTGGGGCTCCCACGCAGACAGCAAGTGCCTCTGCCTGTCCCTGCTTCCAGCTGCTGAGAATGTGCTGCAGGCATCAAGGACTTCATGACCCGAGCATGAAGAAACTAGTCCAATTAAAAAAACATGTTGCCTTTTTGCAGCAACCACTGGAATAGGAAAGGATATACAAAGACAGGCTATGGTAGACATGACGGGGGGGGGCGAGGGCAAGGAGCACAATGCAGCCTGGCACACTCCCCACCAATCACCCTCTAATGCAAGGGTTTGTAAAGTTGGCCCGAATTCAGTATTCCAGTTAAACACACAGAACGTTTGGTCATCTCTCCCAAACCGCACCTTCCCCTCACCAGAACTCTTACCTATATAAAATTTGTAGTGCAAAAAGCTGTAAAATCCCTTAAGCTGGAGTTCTGGGCACTAAGTTCCTCTTCAGCTTTTTCTTCTTCATCATCAAAAAATGAGTAATCCTCCAGTATCACCAGAAAAAGGTAGCATTTAACTTCAGAGCCTATTTCTAGGATCCCAACTCAAAAGCCTCTACAGACAGGACTGGAATAAACTGCTCTCACTGAATGCACCAGGCCAACCCGAATCAGCGAGCTACAGCAGCGCAAGAGGTTGGTTACCCTTTGTGCTCATGCCTGAAGCATCTGAGGACTGAGGGTGTGCACTGCAGCTGTCTGAATGGAACTGCCTTCTTGCTTCTACACAAAGACAACTCGATGAATATGAATTTTTATTTATTTCAGTGTATTTTAAGTGGAACCTGGAGAGGAACAGAAGGAAAGAGGGTTGTATAAACCCCCTGATTTACTTGAAAGCGAGTTCTTCCCCACAACACATAGAAACCAAAATAAGTTAAAACCAACTGGTCAGTTATTTCATGCCATTGATAGAGATCTGCTCTTGTCAAGCTTCTGTTCCACAACCTCACAGAAAATGGATCATTTAAAAAAAGCTACTAGGTGAGATCTGGTCCACACATCCTCACTGTGTTCATCCGGTACTGAAGGAAATCTAACATGGGCGATTGTCTGGTACACGTTTTCTGCGGAGAAAAAAAGAGAATTAGAAAATTCCTCACACACACTGACGCCCAGCAGCCTCCCCACCCACCCTTATTTTTATGCTGGTATTTTGTGTTCAGTGCTTATCTCACAGCACAAAAGGCAGCAGCATCTCAAAGCTAATACACCACCTCCAACTACAGTAAAAATCCCATGCAATTCACAGAGCAGTGCAAACCACCTGGGAGCAGGGAGGCATGGGATAACCTGCCTACAAGAGACATTTCTTCCTGAACTTTAGCAAATGTGTTTTAGCCACAGATTCTGCCTTAGAAGCAACTAGTCATTTCACTGTGATTCTTGCCAAAAGAAAAGCAGCGTGATCTCTTACATTTTAGTCAGCCACTTATGCAAATGTTTCAGTGCTATCTATGGCACATGAGTAGCTGGTGACCCAAGATTAACTAGGCACTGCTCACGCATGCTAATTTAAGTGCACTGATGGCTCAAAAGGCCTGTTTATACTGCTAACACACAAAAAAACCCCCTCATGTAACATGAATATTAGCATGTCAGATGTCAGTCTTCATTACAAATGCAAATATTTCTAGAACAAGACTTTTCTGCAATTCCTCTTCCACAGGAGGAGGTTGCTCTGTACCACTGTAACTGACCATGTAGATACTCTGATCGTACCTCGGTGCTGCTTTAATGATGTCATCTACACGAAGAATCATTTCTGCTGCTTCAGCTGCGCTCAGCAAAACTTGTCTCTTGACTTGGAAACTTTCTGTTACTCCCAAGGCTGCCATGTCTCCAATGGTACCCTCTTTCATATCTGGAAGAGGAGACACATTAAGAGGTTGGTTGTCTGCTTGTTTTTAACTTGGAGGTTTTCTAAGGAAATTACAAGGAAGCTGACAGTATGGTAACCTACCTGCTCAAATGAACAACATTAACAGTAAGGGAACTATTAAAGTCTTTTACTTTAAGCCTAACATGTTGCAATTAGATTAAAAATTTGGTTTTAAATCAATACCTTTCTTTTTAAGCTTCATGTAACTACACTCAATGTGAGGAAAGACTTCCTTACAGGTGGCACCCATCCCCTTAAAAAACAAAGCATTTCACTCTATTGTGAAAAGCTGGGTAGAACAATAAAGGACTATAACACTGCAGCCTACATTCTGTGCAAAGCAAACAGAAATCAGCGTACTTCCAGCTGAATGTATCAATGACAATTAGATATGAGCAAGTTTAATAAGCCTCACTGCCCTTCCAAACAGCAGTCCAATAACAGAAGTAACGTGAAGGCCCTTACCAAGTCCATAAGTAGTCTTCCCTTCACTGTGAGCAGCTCTGAGTTGAGCAACCAAATCTGCACTGTCATAGCCAGCATTATCAGCTATTATTGTTGGGATCTATGGGGATAAACACAGGTTGTTTTTAATTCATGCAGGGACTGATCCCTAGTAAACATGAAACATGCTTTGATATTACTAGCTTACTGTTCGGTTTCAAGAAGAGGAAGTTTCATGGCAGATGTATTCCAGTGATCAGAAGAAAAAAAAACGTAAAAATCAAACTACTTTTCCAAGGATTTTGTTTAAAACCTTGTTACGAGAGTATCTGAGAGGACAGAATCATGTTAGATTTTTCAGTTCTTTTTACATGGGGAGAAAGAAATCTGCCTATTTCAGACTACAACTGGAGAAATGGTTTCATTTTAAGAACATGAGCTTGCTGCTAAGCATTCACCACCTGATCACTCTGTTCACTCTGTAAGTGACAGTAGTGCAAACTGCAGGTGCTGGCTCAAGAAGTAATGCCAAGTCTTACCATGCTCTTCAATTTTCTTGGCAGAAATGTTTTCCTATGGTCTTTCATTTCCTAAGAAAGGCTGTCCCTAAATTAAATAACAGGAAGGCATTTTTTCCCCTCAGACTGATAGTCTGTTAGCACAGTAATATTCTATAAACATTTCTTGTGATGCATCTTAGTAGGAAGTAAAGAGTAAACTCCAGTTCAAGTCTCGAAACTTCTAGATAGTGCTAGAGCATGAATACAATCAAATAGCACTAGAGTATCAATAGAATTGAAAGGCTGCTCTCTTATACATCAGCTGTCAATCGAATAAGCTGAGATTTTTATGTGCTATTTCTGCTGCACTTTTAACCTTGCAAGTTAAGA